CCAGTCACTCGTTTTTTCGTCTTTGGTGCCTGGAGTCACACGATTTGTTTTTTTTTCGAGGATTTTTCTTTTGTAATCCTTTTTGCTTTTCTGTTTTTCGTTCTTTCCCTAATTTTTGCCTGGACTAATTCTTTTGAATTTTCTATTTTGAAGTCCAGCGGGATACCCTCATTTTTGCCTAAGCCGCTTGTTTTCAAGATTCGACTTAGCGGGCTTCTTCTTTTGATTCTTTTCTTTTTTCTCTTTCTCCTCCTTTTTTTTTGAAACAAGTCGTGTGACACTGGTTGTCTTGATTTCTCCGAAAGGGTTATGACTGTCTCACTCCTAATTGGTGAGGTTTAACCACCGTGGTTTTTTTTAGGCACGACCTCTAGAGGTGTGATTGATCCTCGAACGGGATCGCTCCTTTTGCAATTTGAACACTGGGTCAAATTAAATGACACCTACCCTGCCGCAGGTTAAGATTGAGGGTTTTTTGTTTTTCAGAAAGAAACTCCTACTACTAGGCTCAAAAAGGTTGACAAGGGATTATCATCCTTATATCTCCGGTGTTTAGAGATTTGAAACAATGGTTGTACATCATAAGCAGGTTTTATTCAAAAAGCATACAATCGGAAGCTTGCGCGTCTTTCAATTTCATCATCCTCCCTCAGATTCCGCTTAAACAAGTGTTTGACATTAATAAAAACATTGAGTGAACACAAATGGATTTAATCAAGAACTTGCATATTCATTTCATTATCATTATCAATCGAAAACAACAATTTTACAAATGAAATTTGAACTTAAACAGGAAAGAAACTACAAATGCAAAGAAATGACATGATAAACAAAGATTCAAGATTTCCAGCTTAGAGGATGTCTTCCTATTTGGACCACTGGCTGGAGGATGTGACCCTCGAAGTCTTCGAACTCAGACAGACGAGAGGTTGACGTGCACGACCAAATTTTCTTCTGGAAAGGATATGTACTCTTTGTCTATCAACTGTTGCTCTTTGGCTTGAAAGGCTTTGCAATCTTCAGTTGAGTGTCCAATGGATCTTCCATGATATCCACATTGAACACTGGGATCATACCCAGAAGGGTATGGCTCTGGCAATGACTTAAGAGTCTTAGGCTCCACCAATGAGTTCTGAATCAGATGTGGCATAAGCTGACTGTATGGCATAGGAATTGGATGAAGAGGAGCATTCCTTCTTTCCAAATTGTTGCGAGGCCTATTCTGATTCTGGCGCCGATAGTTTTGCTGCTGAGGAGCATAAGGTTGTTGGTACTGGGATGACTGTTAAACAGCTATAGCATTATTTTCTCCTTCCTTCCCAACATAGGGCTTCTTGGCATCTTTAGAAGAATCAAGAGCAACTTGAATCTTTCCCATTTTGATACCGCTTTTGACTCTTTCTCCCGCCCTTACCAGATCTGAAAAACTCGCAGAGATGCAACCTATCAACTTCTCATAATACACTCTAGGATGTGTAGCCATGAACATGTTAGTCAGTTCTCTCTCCATCATGGGAGGTTGTACTCTCGCTGCTAAGTCTCGCCATCTCTAGGCATACTCCTTGAAGCTCCCAGTACTCTTCTATGACAAACACTGCAATTGTACCCTGTTCGGTGCCAGATCATTATTATACTGATAGTGACGCACGAAAGCCTTAGCCAATTCTCTCCAGCTGCGGATATGAGTTCTCTCGAGTCCCATATACCATTCCAAAGACGCTCCTGCCAGACTATCTTGGAAAAAATGTATTAGCAGCTTTTCATCATCGGAGTACGTAGACATTTTTTTGAAATATGCTCGGATGTGTACTCTAGGACAAGTTGTCCTATTGTACTTGTCGAAATTCGGTACCTTAAATTTGGGAGGAATCCTGACCCCAGGAACTAGACCAAGATCTAACATATCGAGACCCAAAGAGTTCTGATTCTAAAAAAACTTCATCTTCTCCTCAATCAGTCTAAACCTTCTGTCGGCTTCAGTTGGCAAACCACCCTCCATATCTCTCATGGAAAAGACGTCATCCTGGTGATCTTCCCAATGAGGGCCAGCAGCCCCGTGCATAGTGCACACACTTCCACCAGCAACATTACCATTTTCATTCGCAGCATCTCCACCCGGAGTAATAATAACACCGACACCACCTCCGCCCGGAGGAAAGACAATGCCAATACTACCTCCTCCAGAAGGATTGACAACACCATCACCACCAGGATGGACCACTCCAATGTAATTGAATTTAGAAGCGTCAATGAGGGGATGAACTAAACTTCTCAGATGCTCCTGCCCACTGGCAACATTCTCCATCAACTCCATAAACTGGGACATGCGAGCTCTGACTTCCTGCAATTCAGCTTGAACAGGATCCATTGCTTTTTGCTGATTCCCTCGAGTTGGATATCTGTGGAAACTAAACTCCTCAATCCCTTTACTATAAATCCAAGTGGAGATAAGAACTTGACGCCACTGAGAACAACTTGTGATGCAAATGAAAATACAGGATGCAAAATGCAAACATGTTATAATGATGCAAATGCAAAGACAAGGGATCAAGGTTGTTGTGTTGCTGACTGAGCTGAACCAGAGCTTTGCTTCAGCGAGAAAATACCAACACATCAGAATACCAAAGTATAGGAACCTCATAACATCAGAGATCAAAGGTCCACACTGATAAGAAATCCGGGTAGGTTGATGGTCAATTTTTCTGCATAACCCTTCTGCTCACAAGGTATGAACCTAATCTCATAAGGTACGACATCCTATGCGGTCATCAGTGCCACAGACTTTCGAGAAACCATGATACATTCACCATTTCTAGTTTGGCATCATAGCCTAACAAAGCGGCCTTACTTAGCTGACTCCCAAATGAACGGTCTCCAGAGTCGACAGTTTTCAGATCCAACATCCATATCCTGACCAATGCACAGGATGAGATGTCTTCAAAGAAAACCTTGTCTAAACGCGAATTTCGTGAGGACTAGTGCATGATGCCATACAGATCCTCACTACTCTCCACTCTAATGCTATGGATATCTTCAAGCCTGGGTTTTGGCTTATCACTCAATGGAACAGTCCCACCCAATAGCACATCAGTAATGATATATAAAGTGCTGAAAGTAAAATGCAAATGCAGTAAAGTACAAATGCAACACATATACATACATGTACACACCCAAAGATAAAACACGCAAGCGCTAGAATTGACTCGCATAGGGGATGGGAAGTGTCCCCAACAGAGTCGCCAATTGTCGCATCGCTGCAAAGAGGGGCCGGCAAAGACAGAAGAGTCGCCACCGTTCATTATTTATCCCAAAGAGAGGGAAAGGAAACGATCATAGAAAACCTACAAAAAGGGAGAAGACAGGTCATCGCAACCATATCTCGGGTTCGGGAGTCGGTTACGCAAGGGAAAGGTATTAGCACCCCTCACGTCTGTTGTACTCAACGGGATCCACGCTTGTTATCTATCTAAAAGGGTGTTAATCTATCTAAGCTACAGGCCACAGGGACAAAAGAAAAGAAAAGAGACTCGATAGAGCATCGCCACTCTATGCCTACGTATTCCCTCGTGCAATGGGAAAGTCAGAGTCAACGTAGTTCGGAAAACTACGGGTGAAGGTGGGAAAGGTTGTTCTCCAAGACATCACCGTCTTGTGCCTACATATCCTCGTCTGGTACGAGAAATCAGAGCAAACATAGTCCGGGCTGACACGACCACAGGTTGGTTAAGTGTTTTAACTGAGTAGGGTTAAACCTTCGTTCTAGTAGTTAGGAACGACGCCTGTTTGCGGTAGAACCAAGACTTAACAACACTCTTTTTGAAAATGGTTTTCAATTAATCCCGAAGGATAAAAAGGTTTGAAGTTTGTTTTTGAGTCTTTTATGAAGAAGTGAATTGAATTGTGTTTGTAATTCATGTTGCACTAAAGATTATGACTTAGGAGCGAATGCGTCGCATATCGCCCAAAGGGCATACGCCAAACACTCTAGACAATTGAGAGGAGGCCCCCAATCATCATTTCCCAAATGCTTAAGGCTTGTAGCATACTGTCATACCCCAAATTTGTCCTACTTTTTTTTCAAAATTCTCATTTTCCCGACTTTGTTTTTAATTTACCTCGCTTATACAGCGTAGCGTATTTTTCAGCAAAAACAGGCATTTTTGCTTTTTTAGCCCAATGAGGGTATGCCACATGGCATTTGTTTTTTTATATATATACCTATTTTTTTATATAATTTCATTTTCCTCGTGATAGATTAATATAATGTTTTTTTTTATTTTTTAATTAGTTTTGAAGTAGAAATTAGGATTTAAATTTGTTTTTTTAATTAGATAGATTTAATTTAGAACTTAATTATAATTTAGAAATTTTAATTTTAAAAAATATAGATTAAAAAATAGAATTAGAATTTAATTAGGATTTATTTTAAATTATTAGATTAGATTTTAATTAATTAGCTTAGACTTAAAATTATAATTAATAGTTAGAATTAATTAAATAGGAAATAGGTTTTAATTTAGTTATTATTCAGAAAAATAAATTAAAAGAAAATATTAAAAAAAAGAGGAAAAAATTTGAATGAGAAGACACAGTGGATTAGGGTTGGATTTCTAGGGATTATATAAAGTCATTACTGCTCACCATACCCTAAAAGAATGAAGGGCAACACTGTTCACACTACCCTAAAGATAACGGCCGCCCCTAATTCTGAAGGGCAACCCTAAAAAAAACTATCCCCAATTCTCTCTCAAAACCCTAAATCGAACACTGTTCATCATCCCAGGATCCCAAATCGGCGCCGCAACCACCCACCCTCTCATCTCCGCCACCATTCGACCAACACCCTCTGCCATTTTCAGCTCACTTTCCCTTACTCTTTCTTCCCTACAACGCCTTTGTTTTCTCGCAAAAAACCCTAAAACCAAACACACGAAGCTTAAACACATGAACGCAACACTGTCATTTTCTTCCCTAAATTTTTTAGGGTTTCACAAAATTCCATGGGTGTTTCCTTCAAGGTCTCGAAAACTGGCTCCAGGTTTTGCCCCAAGCTTCTTCCCTCTTCTCTTCAACCTTCCCAGGATGACCAATCCCATAGTTCCAGGGCTCCGAGTGATCTTGTTGAGGCAGGTGAAAACATTGCTGGAATTTCCAATTCATCCATTTCGCCTGAAACTGTTTCATTAGCAGAGAGGGAAGCTTCTTTTATGTTGAATCTGTTCCCAGATGGTTATTCTATTGGAAAACCCTCGGAGAATGGTGCTGCAAATCAGTCATTTCCGAAGTTGTTACTACCTTATGATAGATCATCCGAAACCCTTTTCTTGGCGATCGAGTCAGGTCACTTGCCTGGGGATATTCTGGATGATATACCTGCCAAATATGTTGATGGGGCACTTATATGCGAGGTGCGTGATTATCGAAGGTTCTCTTCTGAAAAGGGAGCTGGCATGGTATCCACAGATAGTTCCCCGACTATTGATAAAGTATGCCTCAAGATGTCATTGGAAAATATTGTGAAGGATATCCCATCTATTACTGATAAATCTTGGACATATGGTGATCTAATGGAAGTTGAATCGAAGATACTGAAAGCATTAAAACCAAGCCTTCATCTAGATCCTACTCCAAAGTTGGATAGGCTGTGTGAAAGTTCAGTTCCAACAAAGCTTAATTTGCAGAGAAAGCGATTAAGGAATATCCCAGAGTTTACTGTTACTTCTAGTAATAAAACCCATGGGAAAAAGGTATGCATTGATAGAGTACAAGAGAACTCAAATAGCAGGTTGGGTGATCCAGGAATCACTACATCTAATGCTACTGGGCAACAGACTCTTGAAAATCAAGCAATGCAAAATCTTAACTCAAGCTTTGCCATGGCCATGAGATCTAAGAATATTATGCCAGATTCTTCTATCCCTGGATTTTCTATGATGTCTCAGCAATCAAGATATCCAATGACTGTTGGAACTCCAAGAAGCTTGCAGGAGCATGGATCAATATCTGGTATTAATTCATCCGGGGCTTCTCCTGCTGCCCAAGATGTCATGATTTCCTATGCTGATAATCCAAACGCAAGTGTATCTCTTCATGCAAAAAGAGAGTATCCGGATGGACAATCATCACCTTTATCAAATATTGCAAAGAGAATGAGGTCTGCTTCCACAGGTGTTGATGCAATGCAGCAGCAGCAATTAGGCTCACATGTTGACGCACTTCAAGGATTAGATATGAACTGGCAGAATACACTATTACAACAACAAGCAATAGCCAGGGGTATTCAGTATAACAGTAGTGGCATTCAGAATTTTCCCCGGCAGGTTTTTGAAGGAGGGTTAAATCAAGAAACTGGGGCTATTCAATTTACTTCTGGTCACCAGGGCATGAGATTAGTTGCCAAGGAAGAACAATTTGAAATGGAAAGAATAGATGGTGCAGGGATAAATCGAAATAAAAGTGAGTGGAAGATGGGGGATGTGTTGGAGGAAGAAATTAGAGTGATCAATAATACAGTGGGGCCTAAGGAACATGTTATTTGTGCTTTATCTGGCGGTGTTGATTCCACTGTTGCTGCTACTATAGTTTATAAAGCTATTGGGGATAGGCTTCATTGTGTTTTTGTTGACAATGGCTTGCTCAGATCGATTTCTCACAAAGCTAAAAGGTGTGACGGATCCGGAAGTTAAGAGGAGCTCCACCTCTGCCTGCACTGCCACCTCCTCCACCGCTCGCGAGTGAATGACACATCAAACACCAGCAGTTGAGGCTCGTTTTCAGCAACAACGTTGGTCATGTTTCTCGCCTACTTACTACGCCGACTCCAACATGAAGGATTTGATAGCACGTCTCGCTTGAGATATCAGGTTGGATCAATCCCTTTTATTCGTGCCATAACTAAATTCAATATGTAGGTTATTGATGTTTTCGTTGGTTTGTTTTTGTTTTGACACAAAGTTATGGTTATGCTATTGCTATCAGTCACAACCTTGATAATGATACCTCTAGGATCTAACTTTTTTTTTTGGTGCCAAGAAGTTTGTGTTAAGTGATTGCAGGGCTATGATTGAGGTTTGGGTAATGCATACAACTTATTTAGAGTTAAGAGGAGCTGCAGGCCTAAGGTTTGCGGTGTCGCAATGAAGGTTGGTCTCATTGCTTCCAAAAAGACTGGTAGGCTCAGGGGTCAAGCTGCTGCTAGCGCTGCAAAGGCTGACAAATCAGAAGTTTAGAGTGTTTGAATCATATTTGTCTGTGTTACAATTTTGTTTCTTGTCAAACTATTTCTGTTTTTGTTTTGAGAACTATTTCCTAGAAGTTGTGGAGCTTTTGTTAGACATCTTGTTATGGCTGCATCTTTATTCTCTATGGATTAATTATATGGTTTTGATGGTATTAATTAAGGTCGATCTTGAGGTTGGACATGATGGGGCTACTGTTATCAGCATGTGTGATCCACCTGTTAATGCTTTAGCTTTTCCAATTACTGGGGCGTTGAAGTATAAATTCGATGAAGTCGCGAGGAGGAATGATGTAAAAGCTATCGTTTGATTGGAAAAAGTGGGAGATTTTCTGGAGGGTTTGACATCAGTGTTATGCAGAAAGTTCACCAAACTGGTGATATTACACTTGTTCCTGATGCTGCCGTAAAGCTAAAAGAGAGAACCTGTTACGCGACTTCGGTTGTGGTCATTCTCAAACTGTTTCATTTTCTGTTGTTGCTAAGTTTAATCTTGCAGAACTCGATGCTAATGTTGTAACAGCAACTCCGTAGCATGGAACGATACAAGCATTACAGCAGAGGTTCTTGCCACTTTACTCATTTCACTTTCGGGATCTCCTTCTGTTTCGCGGCGACACCGCGAAGTTGCCAGCTACGGCGACCGGAGAACGTCCCGACTGTTTTGCTTCCAGCTCAACAACAACGACAACACGGCGTCGGCATTCTCGGCTTCGGCTAGGTAAATGTATCAACTAGTTTCGCTTATTTGTCGGATTGAGTAATTATTTGTGATTGTTGTTCAATTAATGGTTTTCTATTTTTCATTGGTGATATGGTTTGGACGTTCACGCTGTTGTTTTGATCCTTGGTGTTCTTCGATGTCGGATTGCGAAAGTTGTTATCATTTGAACTAATATACAGATCTACCAGTTTTTTTCACTACACTAATTATGTATATTTCTGCTGTGATGTTTTGAAATACTAAGCCACTGATGTTAAATGCCAAAGTTTTATTTGTTTTATGTTGTTCAATGTTTTGATGTATTGTAAAATTATCTCATTGTGAATCATGATTAATGTTTGGATTGAATTTCGCAAGAGTTTTTGATTGCTCCCTATAGATTTGATCCGATTTTCGCGGCTGTTACTGTTTTATCTTGACAGTTAGATTAATTGATTCTTCTTGAACAAATTGCAACATTGTCCAATGTGTTGGTTTATTTTTATGGTTTGTAAATAATTTAAAATAGTAGAAATAATGGTATAATGAGGTTGATTAAAAAATGTTTTTTTTATTTTTCGGTGGATCATAAGTTACAGTATTTATAAAAACATTATGATGAGAGCCTACTTTACAAAATACTTTCCCTTAGCTATTTTTTAAAAAAAAATTCTTATTATTAATAGGTTGATTAAATATTTAATTTTGTATAAAATAGGTAATTTTGACTTTATTTTTTTATGTTAGTTAGTTATTTAGATTAAGATATGTTAATATACTTAATTAAGTTATTTTTCCATTCAAATTAATTTCTTATTCCTATTCTTTTCGATTAAACAATGTAGATATTGGGCTCTTGGGGTCTAGCATCCCTTGAGTCCTTGAACAACTATTCTCGAGGCGCACGCCTTTGAGTTACGGTCGTTCCTTTTTTTTTTAAATGTTCACTCAATTCAATTAAAGCTTCTAAAAGATATTTTTAAATTAATTTTATTAATTAGATATTTTTATAATAAGGTCCAATTATTATTCTTTTAAAAGATATATATATATTTTAAAATTATTATCAAATAATATTTTGAATATTAGAAAATTATATTTCATAAAGTTAAAATATTAAACTTTTCTCAAATCAAAACTTTTTACAATTGATTAATCTATTTTTTACATGAAAATTACAACTATTTTTTAACCAAATTAAACTATCTTCCTAAAACAAATTTCAAAATAATCAAATTCTTGGATCTCGCCTTCCTTGAATTTTTTAAGCGACCGCTCTCGAGGTGCACACGTCGAGTTGTGACCCTTTCGATCTTATTTTCTAGAGTATATGGCACGCTTAGTCCGAGTACTCTAATATTTTCAAATTATTTTCATAATTAAATTACGAAAGAATCGAATTCTTGGAGTCATGCATTCCTTGAATTCGAGAATGATTACTATTGAGGCGTACGCCTTGTATAGTGCGTCATTCAAACTTTCGTTCCAAAAATACCTTATCTAATTATTTGGACAAGTACTTTCACTGTCCAACAAACATGTCTTATAATTAATGGAATGAAAAAGAGGTCGTTGGGGTCTAGCATTCCAACGATATCCCGACTAATTGGTTGCGAGACTGACGTCTCGTTTATCGAGTAGTCGTCATTCCTCCCAAATTTTCAACCCGCATAACCTCGTTTCTCACCCTCGTGTGATTGAATCAAAATCTCCTTCAATTTAAACTCTTTCGCGTCTAAACTATCCATCAAACATATTTCGAATGAAAAAGGTATCGTTGGGATCAAGCATTCCAATGGTGTCCCAATTGATTTGATTACGAGGCCGACGTCTCGTTTATCGAGTAATCGTCATTCCTCCTAACATTTAACCCATATAATCTCGTTCCTCACCTTCATACGGTCGAGTCTAAACCCTAGTACGCTTCTAAACCGTACGTCAAATTCAAAACTATTTTCTTAATTAAATTGCGAAAGAACTGAGTTCTTGGAGTCTCGCACTCCTTGAATTCTTGAGTAACCACTCTTAGGGCGTACGCTTTAGGTTGTGGTTCGCTCAACCTTTCGTATATAAAATACGTGCCCTAACTACTTGGACCAATATTGTTATTGTCCATTCAAATACAATTTCACAATTAATTGAGTGAAAAAGGTATCATTGGGATCTAGCATTCCAATAATATCCCGATTAATTGATTGCGAGGCCGACGTCTCGTTAATCAAATAGTCGTCATTCTCTATCAAATTGCCTAACTAAACTCCTCTTTCTTGCCCCTGTGCAATCGAAACCTTAAACCTATTAAAATCTACCCTCCTTTTCCAAAACCAAAACATCCAATGCGATAAACACAAATTCCTCGCCCTCGTGCGATTTCCAACCAAAACACCTTTTGTCAAGAACATTGTTTAGTCCCTTCTTCCGCGCATAACAAACTAGTGCTTCAGCCTCCCATAGCGAGTAGACAAGCCAACGTTTAGCAGTTAGAATTCGACCTAAACACTCGTTCGTCAAACACAAACCTTTTACCGTAGTTAGCCGAACTACGGCTGCTCTGATTTCTCATTTATCAATGAGAATACGTAGGCATAGGATTGCGATGATCCTAGCGAGCACTTTTCCACTTTTTCTTTCTTTCCCACCTTTAGGTTCCCATACGTTTTACCCAAGAACATTGTTTAATCCCTTCTTTCGCGCATATGAACTCGTGCTTCAGCCTCCCCTAGCGAGCAGACAAGCCAACATTTAGCAGTTAGAATGCGACCTAAACACTCGTTCGTTTACCAACCCTTTTACCGTAGTTAGCCGAACTACGGCTGCTCTGATTCTTCATTCTCTTGAATGTAAGATACGTAGGCACAAGATTGCGACGATCTTGGCGAGCACAATCCCCTCTTTTTCCCGTAGTCCCACGAACTACGAATGCTCTGATTTTCCACTTCTTATAAGTGAAGATACGTAGGCACAAGGGCCCCAATCCTTGGCGAGCACCCTACCTTAAAACTACCCATTCCCCCATAGGAGAAACCTTAGAAGAAACAAACAAGCATAGTTAACTTTACTCTCGAATCGATCAAGAGGTTCCCGTTGAGTACAACGAACGTAGAGGGTGCTAATACCTTCCCTCTGCGTAACCGACTCCCGAACCTAGAATATTGGTTGTGATGACCATGTTCTTATCTCCTTAAAGGTTTTATCGATATTTTCCTATTCCACTCTTGGAATGAATAAAATTCGGTGGCGACTCTATTTCGAACAGTATTTTTCTGCGGCCATCGCGAGGATCGTATTTTTCGAGGTACGACAGATGGCGACTCTGCTGGGGATAGAAATTGCCCTATGCAAGAGAGAGTCAAGCCTAACTTGACTCGATTCGAGTGTACTAACCTTTTGCTTAACTATTTTCTTTATGCTTATTTTCTCCTATTGTTTATTTCTTGTTTTCTCTTTCTATCGTATGTTGTTTATTATATCTGCCTGCTGGATTTAGGGATAGCATTGCAAGTAAAGCTCTACACCCGAGCTTTGGAAAAAGAAGAGAGAAAACATAGTTTAGAATTGGTAGTAATTAGTGTTAGTCCCCAAGGACTCGCTCCTTGTGTGCCTAGCATGAAAGCTCCTCCAGAATAGACCTTTTCGTAGATCCTGTCGTAACGCAGCTAGCCTGTTACACGATTTGATTCATGAAGGGTCCATGACTCTGGGAACAACTCTTAGAACCAGTTTCTATGTTGGAAGTCGTGTAATGT